AAAAACAGAGTGGAAACAGTTGAGACGAGAGGGGAGGATAGATGCGAAAAGGAGACAGGACGAGAAACTAGGAGTGGAGGGAGTGGAGTCATGCCAAGAATAGATAACCTTGATGTTAAAAGCTACATCCGTCGGATGTGTCTCTCTGTGACATATTGATGGCCCTTGAAAAGAGTCAAGCTGATTGTATGCAGGGAACAATCATTAAACCCACTCACTCCCTCTCTAGTCCATGTGTGCTTGCACGTACAATTGTGAGTGTGTGTGTGTGTGTGTGTGTGTGTGTGTGTGTGTGTGTGTGTGTGTGTGTGTGTGTGTGTGTGTGTGTGTGTGNTGTGTGTGTGTGTGTGTGTGTGTGTGTGTGTGTGCACGCGAACGCGCACTGATTAAATGAGTTTTGCAACCAACTATGTGAGTTTATACGGCTGGTAATCTCTACACTCTGACAAACAGAGGCCCCAGCTGTAGGGTTTGTGATTTTAAAAAATAGCTCAAGAGCTGAATGTTTTCTGTTATTTTTAGTGGTGCAGGAAACTTTATTATGATGTGCTACTACATCCAATAGTAAATATGAGGAGCTGCATTTCAACATATTTCAATGTCACTGCTCCATGCACGACCACTGACAGAAAACAGTAGACCACTGTCGTTTTTTAGTGTTGACACCCAAGAAAGCCTTATTAAAAATATTGTTACTGCTATGAGTTGCAAGGAGAAATTCTGTCTGTGTAGAGAAATACCTGGATCTTCACATCTCGCAGTGCAACAGGCAAATACCAGCTGGGACCTGAGTTAACAGGAGACCCCCAGAGAACGACTGATGCATTAATCCACAGCAACGACTCTATGTTGGAACCCTTAAATACTATAATCGGCAATGAACAGGAGAAAACAAGGGCATATCCTGAAACCTCCAAACAGGGCCCAAGCCACAAGCTTTCTGGAAAAATCGTAGACATTTTAGAGGTTTGGTCGAAGACAAGAATGTTCATAATTTTGAACATCGCAATGATCTGTGATCTGGGTCAGTTAGATCCGATGTAGGGGCCTTCCGTGAATGTCCGTTGTACCTGGGGAACTAGAAACACTCCTGAGTCGTAGCATTATCAATATTAAAACCTTGAAATTTCAGGAAGTGCTGAGTGACTGACACTGTTTGATCAACAACTTTTGTAAATCTCTGTTCAGGTGTTATGGTGCAACAAGGCAATTTAAGTATCACGATGGATTTAGTGAGTAAAGTAAAGTATACAGCTGTTTTTTACTTTACCCTTATTGATTTTACTTCTAATGGAAAAATTATATTTAGAGGAAGAAATTTGATATTGTAGCACTGAACATTTGAGTTCAGCTCACTCACAGTAAGCACAGTGGCAGAATGGCCCATCAAGCCCCTGTGGAGAGGGCACATGCTTCGGGTAACAAGCTCCGAAACGACCAGGCTGTCTGATGATGAACTTCCACTGCCGCATTCACCAAGAGGACGATACAAGATACAGATGTACAGCTCTTTTAATAAAGACAAGAGGGTTAGCTACTCCCCTTAAAAACAACAAGGTGCTGCGCGTCAACTGCAGAACAAAGGCCTGATTGTTCCTCCACCAGGACATGATGGAAGCATTAGCCTCCACATCACTTTGTTAATCTGTCACTTTAATGGCTGCAGCCATTGTCCTCTCCACACTGTGTCTGTACGCTCGAGATCAAAGTGTGTACTGGTTTGTGTGTATGGTTGAGAGTGTGGGCTTTGATTCCAGTGTGCTCATATATGGCTTTGGGATACACAGAGGATATTGCAGACTACTGGGTTTGGCACTGTACCACTTGTTATTAAGTATCAGTTCATCAGGCGGAACCCCACCGGCGTGAGCGTGCCCTCGGAGTGTGTTATGTAAGAGTGAGTCTGGCTTACAGTTACTCCCTCCTCCGTCTTCAGCCACCCCATCTTTCTGCGGGTTCCTCTCGTAATAAGAGCGAGGTCTCGCTGTGAAGGGAAGGCAGCAAGATGAAATGTGTTTATGCATGAAACACGCTGCTTAATGTAGTTATGAAAAGTGGCCAGAGCTCGAGCCAGGTTCCACGGGAAATTAAGAGACACATTCAAACACTCTTTCACCCCCTGGGAAACAGACCTTGTCCATGTTCAGTGTTCTACTACTTCTCTTAATTTACTCTTTCTCTTCTCTTTTGATCACAGATGTAGGGTTTTTTTCTCGGAGAGTCACAGGTCACACGTCGTCCAGGGGTTCATGATTGGTGCTGGAGAATCACAGATTGTGTTCCCTCCAATCTTTCTCAGTACCCATAGGCTAGTGACGAGTTCAGCCGAGTGTGAAGGCTTGGGGGTCCTTAAGCTTCAGCTCCCTCATCTGTGAAGGTTATCTCTGAAAGGCTTTGGTTGCAACCGACAAATATATCCCCTCAAGGTAATGTCTTATAGGAGCCTTGGTTCTGGTATCTCAATGGGTAATCTCTTTAAGGGCCCCACTCCTGAAGAGAGTGAGTTTCTCGCCGGGTAAGCTGTGAATATGTGAAAGGCCCCGGCACCCATGTGATCAGAGCACTGCGAGACATCCTGAGTCCTGTGGTGTCAAGCCCAGTCTCCAGCCGTGGCACCTATATCCCCAGGCAAATCACGGCAGCTGGAATTCATCCCTCCCCGCCCCAACCGCCCCGCTGTCAGAGAGGAACACACAAACACACACTTATATGTACCCCTCACACACCGGGGGAGCAGGCAGGCATGGAGCTGGTCCCGGATTTTATCGGAGATGACAGCTCCTCACACTTCAGTGTTTGGATCACCTCAAGTAGCTGGGCTATGAGGGGAAATGAGCACTGCTCCACTACAAAGTCCAGATTTAGATTGACTGAGCTTGTCCTCGGGCCTGTGGGCTGCTGCTGCCGCTGCTGCTGTACTGCTCCTCCGCCTGACAGAACACCCACTACTGCTGCAAGGGACTGGTGTGTGTGTGTGTGTGTGTGTGTGTGTCTTTGTACTGTGTGTGTGTGTGTGTGTGTGTGTGTGTATGTGTGTGCGTGCGTGTGCATGTGACTTGGTAGAGCCTACTTTGAAGAGTCAGAGAGAGTGGGGTAAAGAGAGCGATGTGTCAGGTTTGGTTAGAATTGAGGGTGGCATCAGAATATGCTTGGCACTAATATGGCACCAGTATCTCTGTCCCCGTCTCTGCTTTCTGTCACTTAGTTGCCATTCTCTCCCCGCCCTTGACAATGTCTGTTTGGATTATGAGATTGGACTTAGCGCTCGGAGCGCCCCTCATCCCTCCGTGACACCCGCCTCTCCCATAAGTCTCTCCTCTCCTGTCCTGTCTCTGGCCTGCGCCCCCCTCCACCCTCCTCCTATAATGCACTTGATGCCTATTTAAAAAGCCTGGCGAAAGCTGTATCTGTTCTCCTGTCAGAGGATCATTGACAGCACTAATGCCACTTGTCCTTGCCTCATTTGGCGAGAGGTGACACCGAGCCACGACCCACCACATTCATCAAGTGGCAGCCGGAGCGCTGTGACATCACAGCCGGAGCAGACCAGCCGCAGACTCTGGGCAGCCCTCTCTCCCTGTACAGCAGCACCTCTCATTACAAAAAGAAAGCAACTGCCGGCCATCTTGAATGAGACGGCATGCTGCTTATTTTTTCGGACTTCTCGAGAATTGATTTCAGCAGTTTATCTTGAAATGAAATAACAAGAAGAAGAATATTATAGTTTTGTTTTCCCTTTGACTGATGATGAAAGTAAAATATTTGACTTCTAAGTATTACATGTAAATTGAAAACAGCAATATTGCATGATAGGTAATCACAAGTTCTCAACTCCAAAATTCATCTGCGTTAATAACTGAGTTTTATTAGCCTTTTAAATCAAGTTACACATGGTGATATCCCACCACTACCTGCTGATAGTTGAATGATTGCCTGCTGTGATTGCCTGCTGTGATGTATGTGTATGTGTGTGTGTGTGTGTGTGTGTGTGTGTGTGTGTGTGTGTGTGTGTGTG